TCCACAAACTTCGGCCAGGGGAAGTAGGGGGGAGGTGAAAGGGGAAGGAGGGAAAGAGATGGGGGCCAAGAGGGTGCAGAGAGAAAGAGGGGGGGGGGAAAGGGGGAGGGGAGTGCGGAGAAGGAGAGGGAGAAAGAGTCCCCAGAGCATCTGTGGACTATTTTCGAATCTTCCTCCTGTAGAGGGACAGGCCCGACGTAACCCCAGGGGCCCCTGGCCCCTTCCCCGGGGACCGCTCTCCGCCCCCGGCTGCAGCGCCCACGGCCCCGCAGCCCGACAAGCGGACCCCGGAGGCCAAGCTGCTTCGGATCGTCGGAGGTCTGGGGCCCCCTCCCCTCTCCCTCCTCCTCCTCCTCCTCCTCCTTGCTCCTCGCTCCTCCTCCTCCTCCTCCTCCTCCTCCTCCTCCTCCTCCTCCTCCCACATGCGAACCCTGCCCCCACCCCCCACGAGTTCTGAGGGGGAGGGTGGGGCTCACTTCGCTCGGGAGCTCCCGAGCGAAGTGAACCCCACCCTCCCCCTCAGAAATCGTGGGGGGTGGGGGTAGGGTTCGCATGTGGCCCCCCATCGTCTGCTTCCCTCTACAGGGGCCCTGGGACACACAAGCAAACAGACACAAACAACAGGGCTCCCCATATCCTCCCATATGTTCTGGGCTTGTGTCGTCCCCCCCACTTCCCAGATTTTCCCATATTCCCCTGGGAGGCGACGACGAATTGTGTCTGCGGGTTTTTCCCCTCCTGGCCCTCACGTGGCGGGTTCCAGAAACCCTGAGCGCAGAAGCAATTGCATCTCTTGGGGACGACTTTTTGACTTCCGCCTGCCTCCGCCAGCCTTCCGCCGGCAGAACTGGAGAATGCTTGATTCCGCCAACTTCCGCCGGCCTTCCGCCGCCTTCCGCCGAGGAAGAGATACGAACTCCATCCGTGGCATCTCATGGGAGCCACCCGTGTCATACTGCTGACGCTTGCGAATCGACGCTCGCCGATGCCACTCGACGCTACTCGACGCTGAATCAGCGCTAATCGACGCTGAATCGGCACTTCCCCCTTCGATGCTTCCCTCCCCTCTCCCTCGTCTGCTTCCCTCTAAAGGGGCCCTGGGACACACAAGTAAATAGACACAAACAACAGGGTTCCCCATGTTTGCCCGTATGTTCTGGGTTTTTTGTCTTCCCCCACTTCCCATATGTTCCCATATTCTCCTGGGAGTCGACGATGAATTGTGTCTGTGGGTTTTTTCCCCTGCTGACCCTCACATGGCGGGTTCCAGAAACCCTGAGCGCAGAAGCAATTGCATCTCTTGGGGACGACTTTTTGACTTCCGCCTGCCTCCGCCAGCCTTCCGCCGGCGGAACTGGAGAATGCTTGATTCCGCCAACTTCCGCCGGCCTTCCGCCGCTTTCCGCCGAGGAAGAGATACGAACTCCATCCGTGGCATCTCGTGGGAGCCACCCGTGTCATACTGCGGACTCTTGCGAATCGGCGCTCGCCGACGCCACTCGACGCGAACCGACGCTGAATCAGAGCTAATCGACGCTGAATCGGCACTTCCCCCTCCGATGAACAGATTCTAGCGCACGCTAACGCGCTCTAAAAAGGCGGAACCTCGAGGGCATGCGCGGCGCCCATGAGCTGCTGCCGAATCCTTCGACCCCTCGAAGGCGAGGCCCTCTCTGGAGCGCCTCACATTGCCCGAGCCCCTCCTCCTCCTCCTCCTCCTCCTCCTCCTCCTCCTCCCTCTCCTCCTCCTCCTCCTCCTCCTCCCTCCTCCTCCTCCTCCTCCCTCCTCTTCCTCTCTCTCTCTCTCCTCATCCTCCTCCTCCTCCTCCTCCTCCTACTCCTCCTCCTCCTCCTCCTCCTCCTCCTCCTCCTCCTCCTCCTCGCACGGATCGCATCAGTCACCATCGAATCGGGAAATCGCATCGAAGCAGAGTGCGCGTCGGATCGGGCCGCATCGGAGCGGAATCGAAATCAAATCACAAATCGTTGCCACGCTGGGGCGCACAACAACGCCATGTGAGCACCAGGCCGCATCGGATCGTCGGAATATCGGAGTCGAATCGGATCGAAATTGCCGAAACCCGTATCGAGTCGGATCGATCGGATCGAAATGGACCTTACCGATGGGCGCGTTTCTGCACCTTCGGCTGGCCACAAGCCTCGAGAGCGAGGAGCCGCTGGTGCTCCGCGGCGTACTCGTCAAGCATCTCCGCGGAGCAGGACGTGAGGCTCATCTCGGCCTGAGCCCTCCTCCTCCACCTCCTCCTCCTCCTCCTCGTCCTCCTCCTCCTTCTCCTCCTCCTCCTTTTCCTCCTCCTCCACCTCCTCGCTCCTCCTCGCTCCTCCTTGCTCCTCGCTCCTCCTCCTCCTCCTCTCTCCTCCTCCTCCTCCTTCCTCCTCCTCCTCCTCTCCTCCCTCCTCCCCTCCTCCTCCCTCCTCCTCACCTCCTTGCTCCTCCTCCCCTCCTCCTCCTCCTCCTCTCCTCCTCCCTCCCTCCCCTCCCCTCCCCTCCCCTCCCCTCCCCTCCCCCTCCCTCCTCCCTCTACTTCTTCCTCCTCCTCCTCCACCTCCTCCTCCTCCTCTTCCTCCTCCTTCTCCTCATCCTCCTCTTCCTCATGATTATTCTCCTTCTCCTCCTCCGCCTCCTCCTCCTCCTCCTCACCCCTCGCGGCGCCCAAAAAAACACGACGAAGCGTTCTTGGCAACTTACGAACTCTGGGGGGCCCTGGCCAGACCCCAGGACCTTCAAGAAACGGCTCAGGATGAAAAGCTGGTCCCGAGGACGGGGGCGCGACCGGTGGGGGTCGGCGTTGCGAAACAAAGTGGCATCATCATCATCATCATCATCATCATCATCATCATCATCATCATCATCAGCAGCAGCAGCAGCATCAGCATCATCATCATCATCATCATCATCATCAGCAGCATCATCAGCATCATCATCAGCATCATCATCCGCAGCATAATCCTCATCATCATCCTCATCCTCATCATCGTCATCATCATCAGCATCAGCATCATCACCATCTGCAGCAGCAGCGTCCCCATCATCATCATCATCAGCAGCATCAGCATCATCATCAGCATCATCATCACCACCACCATCATCCTTAGCATCAGCGTCGTCGTCAGCATCGGCATCAGCATCAGCATCAGCAGCAGCAGCATCATCAGCATCATCAGCATCAGCATCAGCATCCTCATCATAAGGGGCATCATCATCAGTATCATCATCATCAGAATCACCACCATCAGCATCACAATTATCACCACCACGACAACCATCATCATCATCATCATCATCACCAACACCACCAACATCATGAGAATCAGCATCAGCAGAATCATTTCCACTATCCTCATCAGCAGCACCACCACCACCACCATCAGCAGCAGCATCGTCATCATTGTTTGTCGGTTGTCCACCTTTAATATCAATATTGTCCTTAGTGCTTCCGTTATCGTAATACTGATGTGCATAGTACGGATCGTTGCTATAGCCATTATAGAATTACTAGACGGGCTCGTATCCGCCTTAGTTGTGGTCGCCACCATGTTAATATTGTTCTTAGTGCTCGCAGTAGTCCGATGACGCATAATATTGGAAGTCCACTCGAAGGTTGAAGCTGCGCGTCCTCCCACGCATCATCATCATCATCAGCAGCAGCAGCAGAAGCAGCATCGTAATCAGCATCAACATTAGCATCATCATCAGCATCATCAGCATCAACATCAACATCAGCAGCATCATCTTCATCATCAGCATCGTCGTCCTCGTCATCATCATCGTCAGCATCAACATCATCACCATCATCATCATTATCAGCATCAGCATCGTCAGCAGCATCAGCGTCATCATCATTTCCATAAGATTTAATCAGCAACCTGATCATCAGCATCGTCATAATCGTGATCATCACTACCATTATCAGCATCAGCCTCATTATCGTCATCATCATCGTCAGCCCTACCATCATCATCATCATCATCATCATCATCATCATCAGCATCATCATCATCATCACCACCACCACCACCACCACCATCAGCACCATCAGCATCATCATCATCATCATCAGCAGCATCATCTTCATCATCAGCATCGTCGTCCTCGTCATCATCATCGTCAGCATCAACAGCATCACCATCATCATCATTATCAGCATCAGCATCGTCATCAGCATCAGCGTCATCATTATTTCCATAAGATTTAATCAGCAACCTGATCATCAGCATCGTCATAATCGTGATCAACACTACCATTATCAGCATCAGCCTCATTATCGACATCATCATCGTCAGCCCTACCATCATCATCATCATCATCAGCATCATCATCATCACCACCACCACCACCACCACCATCAGCACCATCAGCATCATCATCATCATCATCATCATCATCATCATCATCCGCCTCCTCCGCCTCGCACATCTTCCTCCTTCTCGTTCATCCTCGCTCCTCCCCCTCCTCCTCCTCCTCCTCCCCTCCTCCTCCTCCTCCTCCTCCTCTTCCTCCTGCCCCCCCCCCGCTCAACGCCCCACTCTCACACACACACACACACACACACACACACAAATTATCCCAGTGCGACCCTACCTAGGAGTTGGAGCCTCTAGGAAAGCAGCATCAGTAGGAGCGGTAAACGCCGTCCTCCTCCTTTTCCTCATCGTCGTAATTGTAGCAGTAGGGGTAGTAGTAGTAGTAGTAGTAGTAGTAGTAGTAGTAGTAGCAGCGCCATGCTAGGCTACGCTATGCTATGCTATGCTGCGCTGTGCTATGCTAAGCTAAGCTATGATATGCTATGCTATGCTATGTTATGATATGCTATGTTATGCTATGATATGCTGCGCTATGCTATGCTATGCTATGCTATGCTGCGCTATGCTATGGTGCGCTGTACTATGCGATGTTATGCTATGCTATGATATGCTATGCTATGATATGCTATGATATGCTAATGCTGCGCTGTGCTATGCTAAGCTGAGTTAAGCTAAGCTAAGCTAAGCTAAGCTAAGCTAAGCTAAGCTAAGCTAAGCTAAGCTAAGCTGAGCTAGGCTACGTTATGCTAAGCTAAGCTAAGCTAGGCTAGGCTTAGCTAAGCTAAGCTAAGTTAAGCTAGGCTAAGCTAAGATGAGATAAGCAAAGCTAAGCTAAGGGGGCGCACCTGGGGGAACCGCGGGGCGGATACTGGGGGAACCGCCCTGGGCGCTTTCCACTGCCCGGCCCCTTTAAGCCCAGAGAGTAAGAACCCTTCTAGGCAGAGCCTAGGTAGGGAAAAAAACGCACACACACACAGCTACAGTGTCCCCCACCCGCCACCCCCCACATCCTACCCCACCCCCGCCCCGCCTCTAGGCGGTTCCCTCCCCCTCGTCCTCCCCTTTCCTCCTGAAGTGCAACACAACCACATTCGCCTCCTGCCCTCCTCATCCTCCTCACCGTCGTCGTCGTCGTCGTCGTCGTCGTCGTCGGTCGTCGATTGCCTGTCGACCGTCATCGTCATCGTCGCCATCATCATAATTATCGTTATCATCTTCATCCTCATCATCGTCATCATGATCATCAGCAGCACGAGTAACATCATTGTCATCGCCATCATCGTCAGCACCGTCAGCATCGTCAGCATCCCCATCTGCGGCAACATCAGAACTGACAGAAACCTCTGCATATTCACCACTAGCATCCTCATGATGATAAGGATCACCATCACCCATCCTACGTTTCCTCGTCCTATTCCTCCTCCTCCTCCTCCTTCTCCTCCTCGTGTATCCTCCTCCTCATCCTCCTCCTCCCTCCATCGTACCTCCTTCTCTCACTGCTTCCTCCTCTTCAGCAGAGCGACGAACTGAAGGTCATCGAGGCTGCTCCAGGCGGACCGACACTGCTTCTTGCAAACAGGCAGCGGACACCTGCGATGTCTCCCACTGGCTGCGCGAGGCGAACGAGAAAATACAAAACAAGGGGGAGAAACGGATAGTGGGAGCTGAGGGGGAAAAGCCTCCGGTGTGGTCGGCCAGGCCCTCAGTTCGAACTCGCAAGTGGCAGCGAACCTCAGTTCGAAATTGCGAGTGGCGGCGAACAGGATGCGGAGCTGAGGGCGCGGCGGATGACGATAATAATAATAATGATAATGATAATAACACTAATAAAGATAAGAATAATGATATTAATAAGAATAAAATTTTAAAAAAACAACAACACGAATAATGATGCCGATGATGACGACAACAAAGATGATGATGCTGATGATGATGCTGATGATGATGCTGAAAGTAATTATGATGATGATGGTGGTAGTGATGATGGTGATGGTGGTAATGATGATGACGACGATGATGATGGGAATGACGATGACGATGATGATGACGATGATGATGCTGATGACGATGATGCTGATGCTGATGATGATGATGCTGCTGGTGATGATGATGATGGCGATTATAATGACGCTGATGATGATGATGGTGGTGGTGATGATTATGGTGATGGTTGATGGTGATGATGAAGATGATGATGGTAATGATGATAATGACGATGACAATGATGATGACGTTGACGGTGATGATGATGATGATGGTGATGATGATGATGGTGATGATGATGATGCCGATGGGGATGGTGGTGCTGATGATGAGGATGCTGATAATTATGGTGATGATGATGGTGCTGATGACGATGATGACGATGATGATGATAGCGCAGGCGCACCTAATTGGAGGCTGTCGACGGCGTCGGGGTTGACATCGGCAGAGGAGTTACCAGCGCTGCAGAAGCTGACCGCGAAGGACGACTGCAAAAAAAAGGTTCCAGCTCCTGAGCGCCAGAGTAAACAGGTGTGGTGCCCCCTTGCCCACAGACCATGCTATCGAGAGCGAACGCGCGCGCTCAAAGGATACATGTTTGTTCCGATCGACTCCTGGTGCCCATGACAGCGTTCAGTACCAAGGCCAGGGGCGTGAGGAACGGCAGTGCACTCAAATCTGCTGCCCATCTATAGCGGTGCCAGTGCTGTCTTGCGACATGATGTGACGCATCAGCTGGACGCGGCGGCGCCTGCGAAAGAGATGCAGGGGCGGACAACGACGGGAAAGCGGTGTGCAGTGCACCAGCTGGAGGCGCGCTTGGAGCTGAACTGGGCGGAGTTATCGATGCGACTGGCAGCGGCGACGAATTGGCGGCGAGCGAAGGGAGGGAAGCGAGGAGAAGACCTTCTCAGAAGGCGGCGGGGCTTCTCAGAAGCCCTCGCGCCTTCTGAGAAAGGTTATGTGTATTCGGGGAAGGCTTTAACAACTTCTCAGAAGGCCGGGGCACTTCCACCACGAGCTCGCCGCCGAACGAAGCTGCGCAAAAGCTGCAGCAGCTGGAGCTGTCGACGGAGCTCCAGGGGCCAGAGGAGGCGGCCGAGGGCGCGCAACTATTTATTCGGAAGGAGCGGTGTGCAGCGCACCGCGCTGGAGGTGCGCTTGGAGTTGCACGGGGCGGGGATAACGATGGCATTGGCAGCGGCGGAAGCGAGGCTGTGCGAGGATGAGCTATAGCAGCTGGAGCTGTCGACGGAGTGCAGTGAGTCCGAAGAGGCGGCCAAGAGCTCGCAGACCCAGAGCGTGAGCGATGTGTGGGGCACGACCAGCACACTGCCGGGGGGGAGCAGATGGACGTCCAGGCAAGTCCTGGCGATGACACGTGTGCACGAGTCCAGGGCGCTCTCCAGGGCCCAGGCTCTCATTCTGCTCTGGCAGCAGCATGATCGCCTTCAGGCTGGAGTCCCCTGTCCGCAGCTGTTTAAGCCCGATTGGCGCGAACCAGGCCGCGGCGGACGCCAACCGTGCTGAGGCGGAGCAGCAGAATGGGCACGACGCGAGGGGCCACGCGGGCCCCAACAACGCTCAACGGGCCTGGGCAGGTCGTCCCGCTCCCTCCTGCCTCTCTTACTTCCTCCGCCTCGTCCTCCCCATCATCCTCCTCCTCCTCCTCCTCCTCCTCCTCCTCCTCCTCCTGACTAACCACCCTCCTCCTAACTCGCCCAGACTCCTGACTCGTGGTTCATCCTCATCATCATAATTGCCACCATCATCGTCAATATCGTCATCCTGATCGTCACGCACATCACCAACAACGGAATCAGTGGATGCACCACCACCACCACCTTCATCATCGCCATCGTAGTGACCCTCGTTATCAACATCCTCATCATCATCAGCAGCATCATCATAAGCATCAGCATCAGCATCAGAAGTATCGTCATCAGTATCGTCATCATCCTCATCGTTACCATCATCAGCATCATAATAATAATCATCATCATCATCAGCATCATCATCATCATCATCATCATCATCAGCATCATCATCATCATCATCATCATCATCATCATCATCATCATCATCATCATCATCATTAGCATCGTCACCATCAGCAGCATCACCACCATCATCACTGTCACCGCAAGCACCATCCTAATCCTCATCCTCATCACCACCATCAGAATATTCATCATCATCACCATCATCAGTATCCTCATCATCACCATCACCACCATCACCATCACCATCACCGTCATCATCAGAACCAGCAGAATCATCTTCATCATCATCATCATCATCATCATCGTCATCATCATCATCAACAACAACAACATCAGCATCAGCATCCTCATCATGATCATCATCAGCAGCATCAGCATCATCATCACCATTACCATACGACTCGTCGTTATAGTCCTCGTCAGCATCCTCGTCATCACCATCGGCATCAGCATCATCATTAGCAGTATCGTCGTGGTCGTCAGCATCGTCATCAGCATCATCATCGTCATCATCACTACCACCACCACCACCACCATCATCATCATTACCATCGTCATCGTCGTCGTTATCATCATCATCAGCATCATCCTCATCACCATCCTCATGCGCATCGTCATCATAGTCATCGTCGGCATCCTCGTCATCATCATCACCATCATCATCAGTGTCACAATCATCATCATCATCATCATCATCATCATCATCATCATCATCATCATCATCAGCATCATCATCAGCATCATCATCAGCATCGCAATCATCATCACCATCATCGTGGTCAGCATCGTCAACAGTATCAGCATCGCCAATATCATCATCAACAACATCATCATCACGAGCAGCAGCACCATCGTCATCATCGACATAATCAGCATAACAATGATCAGCATCATCACAACATCATCATCATCGTCATCAGCATTAGCATAATCAGCATAAAGATAATCATCATCATCGTCAGCATCGTCATAATCATCATGATCATCACCACCACCACCATCATCATCATCAGCATCATCATCATAGTCGTCGTCGTCACCATTATTGTCGTTGTCGTCATCGCATTCGTCTTCGACATCGTCATCATCGTGGTCATCATCATCGCAACCGTCATCATCGCCACCGTCACCATCGTCGGCGTCACCAGCACAAGCTCCATCGCCGCCGCCATCATCGCTCCGACCCCCGTCCTAGCCCTTATCTTTGGCCTCTCCTCCTACTCTCAGGTCGGGCATGTCCACCTACAGGCGGATTTTGAACGAAAAATGAAAAAAATCAAACAATACCCTAAAATATTCAAAAATACCCCCCCCCCCCCCCCAAAAAAAAGGTCCCCATACTATGTTTGACTATTTTTGAATCTCCCTCCTGTAGAGGGACAGGCCCGACATAACCCTGCTCCGCGAATGCCAGGCGGCGCGCCTCGCCCGCGGCGGCCTCTCCGGCCGACGCCTCCTCCTCCGCCGCCGCCCTCTCCGGCTCCAGCTGGGTGAGGGCGGCCTCGAGGGAGTCCGCCTCCTGGGCCACGAGCGACGGAGCAGCGGCAGCAGGCAGGGAGGAGGAGGAGGAGGAGGAGGACTCGACGCAACAGACTCGTTTTTCATGTCTGCTCAACGTCAACAAGACTAGGAGGAGGAGGCGGAGGGGGAGGAGGAGGACAAGACGCAACAAGCTCGCTTCTCATGTCTGCTCAACGTGAACAAGAGGAGGAGGAGGAGGAGGAGGAGGAGGAGGAGGAGGAGGTACGGAGGAGGAGGAGGCGGAGGAGGAGGAGGAGGAGGGAGGAGGAGGAGGGGAGGGGGAGGCGGAGGAGGAAGGAGGAGGAGGTAGGGAGGAGAGAGGAGCAAAGAGCGAGGAAGCAAGGTGGATGGACCGAGGACAAGAAGAGGGAGGAGGGGAGGAGGCGGAGGGTGAGGGTGGGCCAGCCCAGCTGCCAGGCACCAGGGGGGTCTCGCGGTGAGGGTGGGCCTCCAGGGCTCGAGTCGGATTTAGTCAGGAGGAGGAGGAGGAAGGAGGAGGAGGAGGGAAGGGAGGAGGAGGAGGAGGAGAGGAATGGAGGAGGTGAGGAGGAGGAGGAGGCGAGGAGGAGGAGGAGGAAGGAGCAGGAGGTGGAGGAGGAGGCAGGAGGAGGAGGAGGTTGGAGGGAGGAGGGGCTAGGAGGAGGTAGGAGGAGGAGGAGGAGGAGGAGGAGGAGGGAGGAGGATGAGAGGATGGGGGTGAGGGGAATGCGAAAGGGGAGGAGGAGGAGGGAGCGAGGATGAGGAGTGGAAGCGATGAGGAATGAAAGGAGCGAGGAGCAAAGAGGAGAATGCGAGGCTGGGAGGAGGAGCGGGAGGAGGAGGCGAGGAGGAGGAGGAGGAGGAGCGAGGAGGAGGAGCGAGGAGGAGGAGCGAGAGGAGGAGGAGGAGGAGAGGAGGAGGAAGAAGGAGGATGGAGGAGGGGGGTGGGCCGCGAGGAGGAGGGCGGGCCGCCGCGTGGGGGTCTGCCTCCTGGCCTACGAGCAACGGAAGCCAAAGTGGGCGGGAATAGGGGGGGGCCATAGCGGGGAGGAGGATGGGCGGGCGCGGCCTGCGGGTGCGCGCGTCCGAGGTGACGGGCTTATGGGCGGGGCGACGAGGGGGGCGCGAGGAGAGGGGGGACTTTTTTGATCCGCAGGGCTCTTCCGCTGAAAGCTAAGCGGGACGCGCACAGCTTTGATTAGTAGAGCAAAAACAATCAAAACAGAGCCTGGAGGCCATTTTCGGAGTAGCTTTTTGTTTGACCATTGTGGAATATGTTTGGAGTGCTTTTTGTTTGACCATTGTGGAGTAGTCCGAAAAAGTCAAGACACTTGTTTGATCTGCGGGGCGAGAGCGAACCTCTTCCGCTGGAAGCTAAGCGGGACGCGCACAGCTTCAATTGGCAGAGAGAGGGCGGAAGAAGGCGGGGCCTCACGCGGCCAGGAGGAGGGCGAAGCCCGGGGATCAGGCGGTGCCGAACGGGACGTGCAGGAAAAGGTACACCTTGGACAGGAGCCCGGTGGTGAAGTCCCGGGAGGAGAAAAGGCCGGAGAAAAGGAGAGGGAATACACTCGACCGGGATAGTAAGGATGCGCGGTCAGGGTGCAAGGGCCTTGGAACGCCACGCTGACGTTTTCCGTGCGGAGCGCGGCAGGATGCCGAAGGATGCCGAGTACCGAAGGGGCAAGGATGCAAGGGTAGCCTTGGAGAGATGCCCCATCCTTACTATCATGGTTGACTGTAGGCGAGCGCGTTCCACTATTCGCAAAGTAACTGCTCGCAAATGGCCTGGATACGCCGCGGGGGATCTACGATGTATTACATTCGGACGTTGCGAGAAGGCACTTTGCGAGTAGTGGAACGCGCTCCGTGAGCGGAGGCGGGAGGCGCACTCCCATCTGGTCGGGACCTCTTGCGCCACCGCATGCCGGAGGGAACGTGCCCATGGAAGTGGTTATGCGGCAAGCACGCATACCTGCTGCCAGAATGGGGAGGAAGATGAGGACGAGGAGAGGGGAGGGCGGGAGGGCGAGGGAGGATGGGAGGGAAAGAGGAGCATGAGGAACCAGCCGGAGGGGACGGAGAAAGAGAACAAGAGGGAGGAGGACGCGGAAAAGGAGGCGGAAAAGAGAAGGAGAAGGAGGAGGAGGACGAAAAGATGCACGGAAGGTGCACTTTTTCTTCACACCCAGGTCAGCGTCCCCCATTACGCAATGCCCGACACGAATGCCTGCGCCCGTGCTGGGAGAGCTTCGGGCCCTTTACCATGCGCGGGCCTTGGGCTGAGGGCAGGACTAGTCAGCGTCAAGCATGAGCATCGGATCGGATTGGCACGCACGTCGGATCGAGCCGCACCGACACGGGCCGCGCCAGGATGCACTACAACGCCGTGCGAACATCGGGCTGCATCGAATCGCTGGAACATCGGAATCGAAACGGGTCGGGCTAGCCAAAATCAGCATCGAATCGGATCGAAATAATACTCAGAAAGCGGCCGCCGCCGTGCTGTCGGCGACGGCGGGAGAGGCAACCGCGACCTCGGCGCCGCCAGGCACCTCCCTGGGCTCCGTGGCAGCAAGGACCGAGCCTTCGTCTCGGCGCGATAGAAATAAACGATTGGTGTATATCGATACTGGCAACATGAGACTGCCGATATGCAGTCAAAACATGGGCACGAGAGCGTGGGTCAAGAGCATGAGCCCCTTCGCCAAAAACGCAGTGATCCATGGGGATACCCAAAATGAAGAGCATTACAGGGTGGAGAGCCCCGGCACGAAGAGCATACGGGTATCCCTCCAAAGCTAGGGTTGCGTTTGGCCCTCTTGGCATCTCTATCATAAGTGACAACTTAAGGCTCTCCCCGCTGGGGTGCTCACTGGAGTGGACAAGGGCCAGGCGAACAAGGGAGTCGTTCGCCACGGACCTACAAACGCCTCGAAGCACCAGATCGCAGAGGGAGGGAACTGCCACCAATGGCGAAACTGCTCAGCTTCACCCCTGCACCCCAAAATGCTCTCCGCTGTCGGGTAGAGCATTGAGGAGAAGGAGGAGGGGGAGGAGGACAGGAGGGGGAGGAGGAAGGCCCCTGCTCCTTTTCACGTTCTCCTGCTGTTCCCCTCCGTCCCCCTCTCCTTCTCGAATCATCAAAGCCGCCATCATGCCTCCCTTGTCCCCTTCCTATCCCCATCCCCATCCCTGTCTTCCTCCTCCTTCTCCTCCTCCTCCTCCTCCTCATCATCATCATCCTACTCCTCCTTTGTACGCTTCTCCTGACCCTTCAACTCCTCCTCCTCCTCCTCATCATCATCAGCATCATCCTCATGATCATCAGCAGCAGCAGCATCCTTTTCCCTACCCTAAACTCTTCCGCATCGCACCTCCTCCTCATCCTCATACACATCGTCCTAATCATCACAGCCAACATCATCAACACCAACAGAAGATTCACAATCATCACCACCATGAACGTCGCGCGCCTTCATCATACTGATCATCCACCTTGTCCGTCGCGTCACCATCGCCGTCACCATCATCACCACTGTCACTGCAACTGCCACCACCACCACCACGGTAAGTACCATCAGCATAACCACTGCTGTACTCCATCCACCACCGCTAACAAAATCACGAGCATCACTAACACCGCCCGCATGTTCGCTCTTGATCGGCCCTCCTTCCACTCTCAAGCCTCCCTCCTCCTTCTCCTCCTCCTCATCCTCCAAGTCACCATCGTCATCATCGTTATCGCCAACACCATCAGTATCGTCATCATCCTCATCGTCCTCATCTACATCATCATCATCATCGTTCTTATGCTTGTCTTCATCAGCATCTTAGCATCTTCATCTTCATAAGCGCGTCATCCTTCTCATATCGTATTCTGCTGCTCCTCCACCACTTTCTTCATTTTCTCATATCATCATTCATTCACCCACAACACACCACCACACACTACCACCACCCCACCTCCACCAACCACCCACCACACCACCACCATCATCATCATCCATCTCATCTCATCAATCTTCATATCATCATTCATCATATCATCATCAATCATCATCATCATCATTCTCTCATCATCGTCATCATCATCACCACCACCATCGCCGTCACTATCATCATCATCATCATCATCATCATCATCATCATCATCATCATCATCATCATCATCATCATCATCATCATCATCATCATCATCATCATCCGCCGCCTCGGTCCTCACTCCTCGTTCTTCCTATCATCACCCTCGCTCTCCCGAGTCCTTGGTGGCCGCCGCCACTCGCGCCCAAGGATCCGCGCCTTCCCGCGAAAGGAAATGCAGCCAGGGGGCGCGGGGGGGCGAGACTCTTCTCCTCGCTCCTCGCTCCTCGCTCCTCGGTCCTCGGTCCTCCCTCGCTCCTCCTCCACTTCAGCTCTGGCTTCGTCTTCAGCTGTGGGGCTGTTGGTGTACCGTGAAGCGCCTTCGGGCCAGCTCACCCGAGCCGATTTTTCCGCTCGCACGGGTGCCCCCCCGCCCTCATGGACGGTTTGGCCTCGACGTTGCCAAACGCGTGGTGGGAACGAGCCCGGGCGCACATGCTGTGCCAAAGGGTGGAATGTCGCTCCTGCCTCGGCACCGCGCCCTCTTCGGCCTCGAACTGAGCTCCCGCTTCGGCGCGGCGCACATCCTTCGCACGCCCGTCGACGCGCGAGCGGACGACGGTGCAGTTCCGCCTCGGCGCCGCACGGACTTCCCCCGAAGGTGGCGCTGCCGCTTTGCTGTTCCGGGGGGCCCGCGCGAGCGGGCGCCCTGCCGCCCTCGCGCGCCGAGGCTCCGGGCACCCTTCTCTCTGGGGGCGGGGGCGTTCCCGCGCGGGCACGGCGCACGTCTCGCTCGCCGAGCCGAGCAGGCCTGCAGCGGCAGCGGGGCCGCGCGAGGGCGGGCGGCAGAGCTGCTCGCACCCGAGCGCCGCGCAGCTTCTGCGTGAAAGTGGCAGTGATAATTACTTCCGCGCGGCGCATGCTTCGGCTTCGCCGCGCTCCTCGGAAACTTGGCCGCCCAGGCGAAGGCTGAGTCGAAGGATTTCCTGAGTTCCGCTCCCGCGTCTGTGAAGGGATGTCCATTCGCCAAGTCGTCGGCAGCGAGACCGCGCGCGGGCGTCTTCCGTTCGCCAGGCGGGAACGCGTTCCAATCCCAATGCCAAAG